TTCACATTCTAAATGCATGTTTGAGTAAAAACCGAGCTGTAGGCATTATCAGAATATGGAAATATTTATCGAACCGAGATATAGTACGTGCATACAGTCGCACGAGACACATGATCCGTGAAGACCGACCTCAATAACCGCGACACATATGAAGGGCCGAGGGTGGGTCAGGTTATCCATAGTGGACTCGTTGTTATGATGACCTATGGCCTTATAAATTATTCTATATGATTTGATATATCCAGATTTGGCTTATTGCATTTTACTTTCTGTCCTTACTTCCTGTAATAATAAAAAACAAATTATGCATCTTTTAAAAATTCACTTTTGATGTTTCGAGTAAAAATGCAACCTGATAAAATATATTCGTAACAAAATTTCAAACCCCTAAAACAGAGATTACATGAAGAGAGGAAAAGAGTATAATGCACTGAAAGCTGAATTAACCTACAACACATGAAACAAATTTAAATGAAGGAAAATTACCTGTAATGTATTAATGTATTTCCTACCACTGCTTTTCCTAAATCTAGAAAGCTGAGCATGGCTATTGTTACTACCTAATCAGAGCATTTGTAACTCAGACATTAATTTTCAGTTTTCAGTTGCAGTTTTCAGACGTTCTTTCGTATCACTCGAAGCTGTTTACACGGTCATTTATTAATTATTTCTGAACGGAATCTCTGTCAACAGTCAAGACGGAATTGCTGTAATGCTTCGAATGAAATTTGCAACGTCAATACCTTCATTACAGTAGTCAGTAGAGAAGTGTCGCCGTCAGTGTGTTGGGTAACTTTTAGTTATTTTTGACGTTCTTAATTGTTGTTAGTAATTGTTGATTACACCGTCGCCGTCATTGTGATGGGTTACGGTCATATTTATTCCATCGTACGAAATGACCTATTCCGTTCAAGTGATGATACACTCTGAGTATCGTTTGTTCTATTCAAGATGTAGATAAGTGAGCCGTAACAACGGAAAGTACATATTCTTTCACTTTTATGCTTCATCCTCAGCAGCTGTCATAGAGCCATCATCTGTGATGGTAAACTTCCGGGATAAACGACTTTCGGTCTTATTTACGGGAGTTCAATATCACATTAAATACGATTATTTAAATATAAAAGATAGTCGCACTGGATACTTTTAGGAATTTTTGACGTTCTTAATCGTTATTAGTAATTGTTGATTACACTTCCTGCGCAGTGGCGCTAAATTTGAGAAGGATGGACCCACCTTAAACAACTTCTGCAAACGAAAAGTGACAGGGTGATGATAATTAGCCAAGAGTATTTGGGGATAGAGTAGTAAAAAGATTCAATTTTTGTTTCTGAATAACCTGAAAGGGTATTGATATTTAGCCAGAATAAACGATGGGTCTGGCTCCCCAGAATGTAGCAGGACAGGCCTCAGTAGAGGTAACCAGAAGAAAAACTTTCTTAACTATTTAGCCTGAACATTCGTAAGCCAAGGAGACTCAATATGTTGAAATATTTGCAATTTGTTTTTTCTTGCTGTGATATCCAGGCTAGCAATACGTCCTCTGGGTAAGTTTTAGTTTTATATTGTTAAACGTCCTATTAACCTAAAAAGTCATTTAAGGACGTGCCTCCCTGTGTGTTGTGTATGTGTACTGGCGACAGGGTAGGTGTCGTAGTTTCCTCTGTGCTATCTCACTGAAAAACCATGCCGAAGGCACCCAGCACAGCATTCCGTCCGGTTACATTATACTGACAACGGGCGAACCAGTTGTTGCCATTCCTCTAAATGCTGAACGTTAAACAGGGAATAACAACTACCATTTTTAAGAAATTTGGTATATTCCGGTATGGGGTCAGACCCATTGCCTCCTTCACCTGGGCGAACGTTCGACACTTGAGCCAAAAGTGAGGTGTTGCTAAAGCATGGCGCTAGGAAATGAAAGGTAGTTAGAAGTAGAGAGAAATACAAAGATCTCAATTATTGCAATGAGTGCTCTCTTTTTGATGGTGACGTTTGGGAAGATATGCAATTTAAAGTATTTCGTGCTTATTACCAAGGTGGGGCTGTACTCCTGAGCTAATCCTTGTAACATATTCATCTCTTCAAGCCTGCCAGTTGTATTTTTTGAAATGAAGAAGGGATCTCGACTGTTATCATGGAATTATGTTCCAAAGGATACAGCTTTACCCGTGTCCAGTCTAAGTAGCATGATTATTTTGTCTCTTCATCCCTTGTAACTGAACATATTATAAATATAGTGTGGGAACACCAACGGTTTCCTAGCAATGACCCAAAAGAATAAATAGCAAGGGGTGAGATTAGACTAAAGGGCCAATCCTAAAATTATGAATGAAGTCGTCTCTTTATGCCTAACAATTGTATATTGGATTATAAGGTTAGGAACTTAACTGTTTTTAAGTAATAACTCGGGGAGTAAGTCCAAAGGTGTGGAAAGGGACCCACAGAACATTCCTGTTAGTACAAGTGTCTTTATCTCTTCACGCGTAGCAATTGTATATTTTGTTATAGGATGTAGATATCAACCTATTATGATTACAATTTCCAAAACATGGTCAAAAATTGTGACCAGTCGTTCTGGACTAGTAGCGTTTTAAAGGAAAAGTTGACGCTGGTACACCGTGCCATGGCATAAACTCTCCAGATGAGCTAATTAAATATACTGTGTATTAATTTTTACAGCTGTGACGCTGGAAACACCAAAGATGATTCGTTTGGAAAGTAAAACCGGAGAGGAGCCCCGTTCGAAGGATTCTATTTTCAAGACACTCCCTAAGCAGGACTTTGATCCAAAAACTCTAGCTAAAAAAGGCCGCACTAAGACGAAGGATTCGCCATCAGATATAACTGGTAAGTCTGCTGATACGCCTTTGTGAAGTCCGCGCCTTATTTATGCTGAATGAGACTTAGGTCTTTATCTACATTGTAGCATATACATATACTTTTCAGTACATTACAATGGGCCCCTGCAGGTTCGGGGTAATAATATGCCTGGTGTATTCCACTGCGTGCCGTAAAAGGCGACTGATTTTGGGTTCTCAACAGAATCGGGATTTTCTTCTGTGTAATTTTCTAAGAGGACATGAGTGTAACCAAAATTTATCTACATCCCCTATTGCAACATTTGGGACAAATAACTTTTCTATCAACTTCATAAAAACTGATATAGCCCTTAATGCCTTGCTAAGCAATACCTTACTTTTTGCCTTAGTGTTGAACGTTCGCTCAAGTGAGGAATGCTGAATAAACATGACTGAAATGTTCGAGTCAAATCCTCTTTGACATGATGTATTGATCATTTATATTCATTCATTGTTTTATCAATTGCTGATCCCTGTTCTTATTCCAGAAAACTTACCTGCCGAACATAATTTAGAAGAGGCGTCAAAGTGTCTCAGTGACGTCGAAGGTAATAACAATAGACAGATATATCGATATATTTAAAATAAATCCAATGAAATATCCAATCTCCTCAACTTAATAAATCTGATATATTTTACTCTGTGATACATCGATACATTCCTCTTACAGATGAAGCGACGGTTGTAACAGTGTTTGTATTGGTACATATTTCCAACATACACTACCGTCTTTGTACCCAAATCGGGGCATTACCCAAAACGGGACACTTATGGGAAAACGGCACCAGAAACTCATTCAATGCAAATAAATACTTTTATGTATACAGTGTTCATTTGATAATACTTATATGACAATTTAATTATATATCAGCTTTATTATGACAATTAAACTGTATTAAGCTTTAATGGCTGCTGATTATCGTTACATGGACAATTTAAAGGTAAGAATAATGACCGAAACAAAACTCCCGATTTACGTGCCTTGCGACGCTATTTATTTGGATAGCATTTTCAATAATCTATTTTATCATAACTAATAATGGTTTGGAGGAGAAATTTATCAGAACCCCGTTTGATTTTAAAATATTTGAAATATGTCTACTATTCTGCTGATATTGAACTTGTATCCCCTAATATAAGCCAAAATACCGAACTGACCCTTTCAGGGTACACTTACGGTTCGAGGGCCTACGCTACCCTGAAAGTATTTCGCATTCTATTTATAGAACCACGAACCCAAAATATCAATTTGTAATAGCAATGAAAAGTGGATAGTATCGTTTGATGAAAAATGAACAAACATTTTTGTACTGATATTATGGTGTAAAGAACATTGTTATTTATCCAAAAAAAATCTCGATTTGGGTACGTAGCTTTAGACTCGAGCATTATTTTCAACGGGAAACCATTGAATATCCTCTTTATATTGAGCATTGATACATATTCGAATTTTAGTCCCTAAATATGACTTCTTCAGCGTTTATGTGATACTACGTAATATTACCAAACACGCGCTATTTTCTTAAATAGAATCATCACGTATGCTTTGCATTTACTGATGTAATATTGACAAAAAAAATGTTGTCTTATGAGTTACACATGTGTTATTACCTGCAGGGACTCCTCATCTGGGCAAACTTTCAACATTAAAGCCAAGTGAGATGATGCCAAGCAAGGGTAAGGAATTGCAAAATAAATAATTTAATTGTGAAGATCAATTGAGTGTCAATAACAGGGCACAAAAGCAAATCTCCTTTTCTGCAGGGGGTTCCCCATATAAGAAGCCTCTTATATTAAAATGCAGAGGGTAACAGCAGGTGTATTCATTTATTGATCCACGATATGCAGGGTCGACACGCCAACAAACCTACATACATCATTTCCAATTGTTGTTATTGAAAGCTCCACAAAACACCGATAAAAATTGAAAACAGTTACATTTATTAAAGAACTAAAGTCAAAAATTATGCTTTAGCGTCATTAGGATTGTACATTTAAATAAGACGCGTTAACACAGCCATATATCCTGTTTAAGATTCCAGTATATTTGTCACAATGTAATATGTTATTCAATCTTCAGTGTTTTGTGAAATGTGTATACTTTCCTCGTGTTTCGCTTGGTGTAATGTGTATATCCTATCCATCCACTGTTTATATAATTCTTCCTCGTGTGTTCTTTTAGAAATTGACGCACTGAACATACCGCCAAAACTTCCTCTAAGAGCTCCAGCGACATTGAAGGTAATTTAAACATATTGTTCAGCGTATGGTTTTTATAGATTGATATGAATCATCCGTTCATTTTAATAATTTTAATGCACATCGTTTGATAATTTTTCAATATGTTAAGTGGTATTGTGTAGATGTATTTGTATGAGAAGACATATATAACTTTTATTGTGTATATATGTCATAATTTTTCAGCTTTATTTTTTATTTATTTTTTATGAGAACTCTTAAATTAGCTGTATTTCGATATTTTATTGCCTCTTTTGTTTTGTTTTTAAATGAGTAATATTTCACATTATCTTATTTGTATATGTTTCAAGTCAGACGATTTTAAGTTCTTTTTAAAATACTTGTATCATCGTAAATATTTAAGAAAGAATTATCTATTGATACAATATTATAATGATGCTTCTTGCACCTTGATGAAGATTTGGACATTGCACTTGCTATATAATGATGGTTTGAACAACTGTGTAAATTATGAACTTACTTTTTTTTTTTACAGATTTAAACCTTAACAGACAAAAATTGATAGGTGAGTTGTGCATGTAAAGTCTGTTACATAACATTTAAAAAACAAATACCGTCTGATTTTACTTTTACAATACTTAAATTTCTTGTGCATTTAAGTACTTTTTTTCTTTTGTTTTAAAAGACTTGATAGTGTAATTAAATGTAACTTTAAAAAGCTCAGAATATATTATCTTCAACACTGTTTTGCTTATTTAAAATTTTGTGAAATGTCGTTTTGATGTTTTATTGGAATATGTTAAAGATGTGCACACTGAATTTGCAAATATGATAGTTGAGTTAAATTTTTATCGCTAATGACGTTACTGTTTAAAAGAATCTGCTTTTCTTAACTAAATACAATATATTAATCTGGAGTGATACCACATGTTTAATTATTGTATTATCATAAGTTTAACGATAAATATATTCTCATACACAATTCCTATGATTATATTCCTATACAATGAGTCAGCATACCAAAATGTTTTACATCCATGTATGTCTCAGATTATTTTTATGAAAGAATTCTAGCAAACGCTTATTTTGGTATACGATACCCTGGTTATCTGCAGTTATTTGATTCCCTAATTGTGTGTATAATTTTCAACAAATTCTTGTTCAAATCTATATGATATTGTTATGAAAAATTAATTGTCTTTGAAGAATCTACCACACTGATGCTGTAAGAAGAAGAAAACGATAAACTGTGGGTTGACACCAAAGGTTTCGTCGATGCAAAGGAAACGTTGTTGAAAAACTAGCTCAATGTAGTAATGATCAAGGGAAACTCCGGAAAACAGCGATTGCATATCAGCTATTCCTTAAGCTGTGTACCACTGAGGAGGATGGGAAACATCGAAGAGGTAGGCAACCACTACAACTTAACTACATCAAAGACTTGGATAAGTTGGCCAACAAAGCACATTTAGCTATATTTTTGGATGATTTGTTTGGAACTAATGTTGTGTGTAAAGAGGATTTGAAAGAATTGAAGAAAATAGAAACGCATCTTCTTTCGAAGCTTCGCGGGGATGAAAATTCAGAAGTACATTTTCTTATCGTTACTATTCAATACCAAGAAGTTGCTTAATGTGACATTTGGTATATGTACCATTGTATTACTTTGATGGATGTATGGGCCGATATCAATTTCCTGAAAGGGTTTCTTAGAAGGCTTGATGATGAAAAACGTGAAGAAAAATTGAGCAAATGGATCAGACTTACCCTGCTTAATAAATCTTGCTCTAATGGTTCACATGAGTGTGCATTATATCTTCTTCAGAAGGGTGCAACACCTGATGAAAGCACGCACAGTTTTGTGATTGAGGGAGACTGTGTTGATGTACTGTTAATTGACCAAATAAGTATGTGTGTTATGAGTTACCATGGAAGGATAATATGAAGAAAAACAATTTATTCATCTGATGTAGTAAGGTTATTACGATAAAAAGTTTTGACGAATATATATGTTTGTCTATGGGATTCATCAGATCACGAGTACAATTCCTTGAAATGTGTATAAGGTATAATGAGACATATTGACATTGTCTAATATTGTTATATGGCGTGGTTTCCCTGCAATTTGGATACATATCTGTAAAAAGTGAAATCAGCTTAAACACATTTGTTACATACGAGCTAAATGCATCCTAGTAAAAGGTACAGTTAATAGAAGAATGATTATAGTGTAGAGTCTAGTTCGTGCAATAGGATAAGCGGTGTCAACTAATTATGTATTATCTTGTTAATTGAACTTATTAATTTTTGTATTTCATATTATGCATTCTTGCAAGACAAACAGTAACATTGGCTTGCTATTTAACTAATTTGAGATGTGTTATCTGGGCTTTGACGGTATGGACGGAGAGGATGGAATGTCTACAAATAATAGGTTGATTTGTAAGAGTGTGACAGTATTGACAGCGCTATAATCTACTGTTTTGAACTTTTATGATTGTGAATATGACGTTATATAAACCTGGAAAAAAGAGATTTTGTCATTTTTGCATGTTCATATCTGATATGATTTACTATCGAAAAGGTCCATGACTGTTTTATTATTTTTGTTATCTTATACATAAAAAAAACATGTATATGTAAACAAACTGTATGTATCAAAGTATCCATGTATGATAAGTTGTTCAGAACTGATCACGTATATACGATCCCGCCATAGGGAATACGTGAATTGTCCATGTATATAATAATATAGTTGTATGTCTAGATATGAAGGATTTGTAAGCTGGGCTATGACTGAAAAACGAACATGCTTGTTAGCAGGGAGGTCTGACGAAAACAGTACTTATGAAAAGTATACGTTTATGTCTGTGTTAGAGTGGGATGGCAGAATGTCTGCAAAGAGAAGGCTTTAGATTGATAGAAGTAGGTCTGTCTAAATGAGAAGTTTGCTAGTTGGGCTTTGACGGTATGGATCAGGATAGTCATATGTCTTGGAATTACCAGGTGATCATGACGCGTTACTGTTAAACATTGTTTTAGCTAACATCAAAATGGCAAAATATTCATGCCAACTTCGTTAAGCAATATTGTATACATGTATACCATTTCTTATCAATCTATAACTTTTAAGTTTAGATTTTCAAATATTTTACAATCAATTGTTACCTGGTTTTGATACTGACATATATACATATATATATATATATATATATATATATATATACATATATTATGATTGACTATTTATAGTTTTTGTCTGATCGGTAAATATCATTTATGTTCAGAAAGAACTACAAATTATTCTTGTATATATATTCATTTTATAATCTTGTAACAATCAGTTCTTTTTTTATTTTTGTTTTGTATTTTGTATATGACATTTGACGAGCTTGCAAATGTTCAATTTAATGTTGTATTTTAGATTCAAATGTTTTATATGTATAATAGTAATTGTCCTTTTTTGTAGAATTGAAATGTTAATGATTCATGCAATTATTAGATAGTGGTGTGATTTTAGGGGAAAGGAAAAACAGATTGTTACCGGTAAATTTCCGCAATAATTTGTAGTGATATTGACGTGACCCACGTAAAAAGATATAAAATTGCATTACGACAAAAGGTAAACTTCATACAAAAAGATAATTTTAAAATGTATTATGACTATTATGACTTAAGGAAAGAAAATACTGCAGAGGTGCCAGGGGTGAACACTGTGAAGTATGGACATAAATCGTTTGCTTTTGAGGCCGCCCGGGTGTGGAACAATCTCCCAAATGACTTCCGAAAAGTTGAAAACTTCAAAGAATTCAGGAGGCTGGTCCATTCCTGGGATGGCCCCATCTGCCTTTGCAATATCTGCAAAGAGTGATACTTCATACTGTGCCCTGGTTTTTTTTTTACTATTATACTTTTTAGATACAGCTGTGATTTGTTTTATTTTCGCTATATTAGCGTGTATTCTGTCAAATTTTAGCTTTTGCTACATTAGCATATATGTAAATTAGACAATTTGTCTGTTAATGAAAACCATAATGGGTTAAGCACGGAATATATTTCGTGCTTCTGTGATAATGTTATTGTAATTTTATTGAACGACCGTTTAAATTATGAAATAACTGTGATATGAATTGCTGTTTTAGTAGACCAACACTTATTTTATGTTCATTTATTTGCTGTGATACTACTTTGTCTTTTAACTAACCAATTTTACTAACAGACGACCCTGTGGAAGATTAGCTTTGCTAAACAGGTTTTGTATCCTCAATAAATAAAGTTTATTATTATTATTATTATTACTTTTACCTCTGCCACCTGACATTTTGGATTTTGTGATACTTTTATTGTCTTATTTCATTCCTTATATGTTTTAATTATATGCTATATTTTTGAAGCATCTTATTTGTATTTTCACTCCATATATTCTAAAAAATATTCTTTTGCAAAACTTGAAAAAATTTGTTAATTGATTTCGGTATCATTTTTAATTCACACTATAATAATGTATATTCTGCCAATTATTGTTCTTTGCTATATTAGAATTGTATGTAAATTCCACTTCATAGTGTTTTAATCTTAAGTCTTAAGTAATTCTTGTGTGATATACAAGTATTCATTCACTATTAACTGTCTTTGATTTACTTATTCTGAATACTATTTATCTGTGATCACATTTAATGCTTTTCATATATTAACACTTTTTTATATATTTATTGTTCCAAAATGGTAATATCCCGGGGGCCTTTGTAGGTAGGGGACTCTCAATCACTTAGAAACCTGGGATATGGATACTTTCTTTTTCTGTGATAATCTCCCTTTACTTGTAATATAATATGTTTTTGTTATTTTACATATTTTGTCTCAATAATAGCTCTCAAGAGCTAACGTTCATTGGTTACCTGTATGCGACGTTAAATAAAGTTTCTTCTATCTTGTATCTTGTATATAATATCCAATACGCCCCATTTCGATCTAATTCTTATTTTTGAATTTTTACCCCAATTCAGATATAGTGATTACAGTAACACTTTTCATATTTATACTTATTGTATTAAGTAACCAATATTAATCTATATATATATACCTGTCAGGCTCACCTGTCCACAGGTACTTCATACAACCATAGACATATTGGGCTTCCCTCAATGTCGATGTCTACTATGAAAGATCTTACTTGGAGTTTATCTAACTCTTTTTATTGGTCCATAGAAAAGATTTAATGCCAGATCAGTTTTGAGGTTTAATGTGTGTTTTTACTTTTGAAACTTAATATGCTCTGCAGGACACCATGCCTAGGACCACTAATAAGGGTAGCGGAAACAGATCAGCCACCACATCTTCCTCTTCCACCTCAGCTCCCTCTTCACAAAACTGTCAGAATAGCAAATCCTAGTAATCTTTATGGGCGAAGCCCTACTACACCTGTCAATTACAAAAAGCTCCAGGTTTATTATTTTTTGCAGGTTATGAAAACGATTTGAAATATAGAATATCTGGTTGAAGATTTCAGGAATGGATTCATCCCTCCCATTCCCCAGAAAAGTACTACTGTTCAGTATGCAACTATCGATAAAGATATCGCTAAGCAGAAAAATCACTGC